ATCCACGAACAAATCGACTACAAACCCGCGTCGTTCGAGGTGATTGAAAACGTCACCTTCGTTTACGGCTGCCGAAAAGGTTGCGACGAGAAGATCGTCAGCTCCACCAAGCCTCCCCAGATGGTGGAAAARGGCTTGCCCGGCCCGGGTCTCTTGGCCCATGTCATGGTCTCCAAATATTGCGACCATATTCCGCTACATCGCATGGAAGGTATTCTTCGGCGCCAAGGCATCGAGATTCCTAAGACCACCCTTTGCGGATGGGTCAAAGAGTGTAGCGAGCGGGTCGARGGCTTGCTCGGAGTCCTCAAAAATGAGCTTTTCCGCTCCGCCGTCATCGCCACCGACGACACCACCGTGCCGGTGCAGAAAAAGGGCGGCGCTTACTCTGGTCGGCTGTGGGTATATATCGGCGATCTCGACCATCCGCTGGTGCTTTACGACTATTCGCCGACCCGAGAAGGGGAAGCCCCGAGGGATTTCTTGGAATCCTACGRCGGATATCTCCAAGCCGACGCCTATTCCGGCTACGACCAGCTTTTCAAACCCGATCGAGAGCCCCGAATTCAAGAGGTCGGKTGCTGGATGCATGCCCGGAGATATTTCTACGAAGCATCTCTCAAGGATAAAGGCCTGCCCTTTGAGGCCTTGGCGATGATCCGCGAGCTGTTTCGGTTCGAGAAGTCGGCGAGAGACTTTTCTCCCGACCAGCGGCTCGCCCTGCGCCGCGAAAAGGCCGTGCCGGTGCTCGACACCATGGATAAATGGATGAAGAAACACCGCCACGCGGTGCTACCCAAGAGCCCMCTGGGCAAGGCGCTGACCTATGCCACCAATCAGTGGGATGCGCTGCGCCGATACACCGAGGACGGCCGYTTGGAAATCGACAACGGTCGATCGGAACGGATGCTTCGGCTGATCGCGGTGGGGCGCAAGAATTGGCTCTTCGCCGGAAACGACGCCGGGGGTCGTCGTGCGGCAAATATCTACAGTCTGGTGGGCACTTGCCGCTACCACGGCTGGGATCCCTATGCTTACTTGGTTTGGCTTTTCGAGTGCCTACCCGGAGCGCCCGAACATCGTCTGTTGGAGCTCTCGCCGCTGGCCTGGGCCGCCCAAAACGGTCTCACGTCCAATCTGATCTCGAAGTAGCCGGAGTAGCGCTCTGCGGACGGATCTTGCTCATGGGGGTGGGGTTTGCCGAACGCTTAC